CCCCAAAACCCCAAAACCCCAAAACCCCAAAACCCCAAAACCCCAGAATATTATAAAATTTTAAAATGAGCGAAGATCTATTGCGCAAATTTGAAGATGTCCGAAGAAAAGTCATTATCGAGGAGATCCTCTGCCAAAAACTATATGAGCCCCTAGTCATCAAGCAGACAATTAACTTTGCTGAGTATAAATAAGAAGAAATACCATGAATATGTACATAAAGAGATCGACAAAGCTCAGGAGCTCAGACTTGAGAAGGAAATAGCAATGAAGTTGTCTGCAGTAGATGATGCTCTGAACAAAGCAAAGGAGATTCAAGTAGTAACCACTGGTAACAAGCATCTCAATGCTTATGGATTTAACAAAAAGGAACCTAAACCGAGTAAAATCCCTGAGCTATCTAAGTCTAAAGGAGCTTCAATTACTAAAAAAAATAGTATTATCGGTAAAAGAGACAAGAGATTTATGTTCAATAATAAAAATATGAAAATTGGAGAAAGAAAAAGGAATGAATTCACTAAATCTACTAATGATAACATCAACGGCAGCTCTAAATCTCATCGATCAATGGCAAGCTACAAAGCTAATAATCTTAAACAAGTAGAAAAGCAAAAGGAAGAGCCTGAAGAAGAGGAGAAAATCATCGAAGATAAGAAACCCAAGAAATACCAAAACAGACTCGAGAGTATTTATGTAGACAAAATTCCATATAAAACTTTCAAACCTCATAAGGAATTCATCACACGCAAGGTAAGTAGGACTTAGAGAGAGGCTATAGAAGGAACTCAGAGCCATTGAGGATGAGTATGATGAGGGAATTGATTTGAAAGGTCCTCTAGCAATCCGAGCAAAATTATTATCAAAAGGAAGTACAAAATCTGAGCTAAAACCGACTAAATATTTTGGATCTTTCCAAACTTTCTGTTTAAACAAGTGAGCATTATCGAAAATAGCCCTTCAACTTCTTTCACAAGGTATTAAAAGTATATAATGCTGTAGATTTCAGTAAAATCCCAAATGGAGACCCACAGGATCTTCAGTCTCAGTTTTTGTTGTACTATCAAAGATGGTTATATACCAAGATACTAAAGGATAATTATGAATTTTGCCAAAAATATGTTGAAAGCTTCGTCCAGCAAGAAAAAGCGATCAAACTCTATGTAAACTCAGTATTTTCAACTGAAAGGGAAAAGCCTGATCTCTACAAGCAAACATTCAATACACTTATAAAGCAACTATGTGCAGTAAAATTGACTCCTAAAAGCAGTCAAGAAGACCCAGAAGGTCCTACTGCTCAGCTTAAAGCACTTAAAAATGATCATAGATGGAAAAAGATTGACAGGGCAATAAAATATACACTCTAAAATCTCAATTAATTAAAATTGAAAAGGGGTTTTGGGGTTTTGGGGTTTTGGGGTTTTGGGG